ATATATATAAGTGACTGATGTGATCACTTGTTTTTTTTTTTTATGAATCTGATGTGATCACATGTTGCATTCATATGAAATAAAAGTGACCTTAAAAATGAAGATAGTAAGCTCTTTCAATTATAATTACTTTTTTCCTTTTCATTTATCATAATTGAAGCATAATATATAATCACTCTAAATCAAAGGGACATGTCCTTCTTGGATTTAGGATATGTGATTTGATAAGCCTAACCGAACATCGATTTGATCGGTCCAAGCCCCGAATCCGTTTGACCCGATTAGTTCAATTCAACTAAATAGAGAACTTGTCACAACTGTTTTTCTGCGGATCGGGAAATTGAAGGGTTCGACAATGCAAGAAAAAAATAAAAGCACACACGACACACGATTTACATGGTTCAATAACACAATTTGTGTTAGCTAGTCCACAGGTAGGAGAGAGCCAGTTTCACTCTACTTTGAGAAGATAGAGATTATAGAGGAGTATGAGAAGGATTTATAGTACTTTTCCTAGCCCTAACCCTAATCCAATATGATAAAGAAAAAGCATTTACAGACCAGACCCAGAACACGAACCCAAACAACATTGAGCTCATACATCGTGGGTCGGGAATATTGTTCCCGATCAGCGAGACCCCGTGACTTTCAGTCGTAGCGGCTGATAATCCAACTTGTGCGACAAATTTGTACCGTCACACATGTATATGTAGTTTCTCTTGTAATTTGAAAGTCGGCCAAGAAGTAAACTTGATCGAAATTCAAGGATTGTTCGTTCCTACCAATCAACTTAAGGAGAACCAAGAGAGCACCGAGCACACGGAAACATAACGAAAAGAAAAGTTATAACCCGACCAAAAAGAATAGATCGACGAGAGAGAGAGAGAGAGAGGGAGGGAGGGACAGAGTAATTATGATGGAAGTGTCTAATCAAATGTCCAAAAAAGGATTGGAAAGAGGGACAGAGGGCGAGGGAACACGTCCAAATGACAAGAGAACGAGTTCGTTAATCATGTACAGATGCGGGATCAGTAGTCTACTGCTCTAGTCATGGACATGCATCAATGGTTTTTGTAATGTGATAAGAGAGAAATGAGGTGAAGCAGAGCAAAAGGCCACCTTCAACGGGGAATCTCCCCTGCCTCCTTCCACCAACGTATAACAGCACCTGCACTGCACTGCATGAGCGGCTGCCCCCACACCGCACATGAACATACAGAACCAACATACAACAACACACGCACGGTCTTCTATAGTAGCCATATGAAGCTACTATGTGTCTTTCTCTTCTTGGTGGAGTCATGACTTGACCAATATTCCATTTATGAAAAAGTATTTATTTAATTAGGAGGGCTCGTCATTTACCATTCTAACTTCTAATACGATAATTTTTTTTATCCATGTAATTAACCAACGACATGATCAATGTTCTTGCAGAAGTGGATCAATTTGTATACGCATAGTTTACCATGGATTAGTTTGACTAATGAGCATCGCCTTGTAACAATTCTGGGCTCTAGGAGAAATTAGTTATTGAGTTGATATTGTAGCCAATGGTCATTGACGCGGAAGGATACATATGTTACGTTCTAATACTAGAAGGGCATGAATGTGCAAAAAATTAATAAAGGGGTACATTTGTTAACTAGCAATAGTAGAATGATACATTTGTTAACTTGCAATAGTAGAGGATATAAAGTGCTATAAACCCTAATAAATAATAGATCCGTACGAATTTAAAGTCCACTAAATTCTCATCTAACACGAGATTGAATGGAACGATGGATACAAAACCCCAATCAACAAACAAACAAGAGATTGGTCAAGTGTTAATACCACTAATCATTTGAGGTCCCAAGTTAAAATCTCTTTAGTAATAGCTAATCACAAAAAAATAACCTATATCATCCTTATAAAAAGATAAACCCAATCAACGATCTAATAGTTTAGAATAAACTTCATATAAATTTAGCATAAAAGTCAACTTGGTGACGCAAATGATTGTAAGTAAGCATGGTGTTGTTGACCAAATTCCATAGAAAAAGCCTCCAATCAGCACGGCCACGCAGCTAGCTAGCGAACCGGCCACCAGTTACTCCGGCCGGCCGGGCACCAAGAAAAACAAGGATAACATCGGACGAAGGAAGATGCTATATCGGAAGGCAGGCTTCATACCCTACGTACAGCTAGGTAGGGTGGTAAAAAAGTAAGATTGTAATTAAAGAAAAGAAAGAAGGGGAAAATTAAAGGTGCAGTGCAGGGATGGATGGATCGGACTGATCGATGGCCGACTTATACGTAATTAACCCAGCAAGGAAACTTGAAGATACAAAGTGTTGCCTCCCCTTTATTTCCTCCTTTGGCAATTCAGCAACCGTCCCATCACAACCCCACACACCAAAGAAAAAAAAAACACTTTTTCCTCCTCCATTTTCTGGTTTTGTTTTTTTTTTGTTTTTGGGTTTTAGGGTTGGAAGCAAAGAGAGAGGAGAGCTAGAGATTGATTGAAGCTTCTTCTGTGTGTGTGTATATGTTTGTTGCTGTGCGACTAGTTACTGAGGTGGGGGGTGGTGATGGCGACTGGTGAATGGGAGGTGAAGTCGTAATCAGGTTTCCTAAGTTAGCATTGCACCCACAAAAAGATGGGCCTCCTTCCACACCCACAGCTCAGCTACCCCCTCCCTTCACTATCTTTTCATGCCACAGGAAGAAAAAAAAAATATGTTATCGAGGTGTACGTTCTGGACAAGTGAGGTTTAGGGTTCTTCTATCAAGCTCCAGTTAGGTCAATCTAGCAATTCTAATTTGATCCGCAGCAGATCATGATTTCAAAATGAGTCTATACATTGTTATAAAATAAAATAAAATAAAAAATTGTGGAGACCCCAATCCTTTTCTCAAATAATCACTAGGTGGTTGATTGCAAGAATGGGTGTGAATATCTTGGAACGTCCATATCCTTCTAATCTCAGATGCGCATGCCGTCCATTAGTATGTGCTGGTCTATCCTACAGTACAGGAACTTCGATTTATGAACGAAATCATGCATGTGAGAGGTTATGATCTCCAACTCTCAAAATTTTTACAACTTGATCTATATAAGATGTAAAAAAAGATAGCTATTCTCTTTGGTTTGTTGGTAAACGATTTTTTTGTATCCATTTATATAATCTAACTTGATACAATATTAGTTCACTCCATCCACTTTAATATTTTAACCTTTTCGTGTGTCAATTTAACTCCTTAAATTACATGAATTCATAATATTTGATGTAACTTGGATAAAATATGAGTTCAGTCTCTGCACTTCAATATGTTTGATTGTTTTAACTCAAGTTCTTCAAGTGAGTCTATCTTAACTCCTATTACATAAAATTTTGAATCTCAATGAAAAATTCGAGAAAGAATAGACATTCTCGTCTAATTTGTGTCTAAGAATCAATTCAAAAATGACAAATTAGATTCGAAAATTGCGAAACATAATTAAAAAAAAAATGAATCTTTTTTTTAATCGAATAAGTACGAGTAATGAATCTATGAATAAAAAAAATTGGGCCACATATTACTTTTAGAATAAAGCCTCCAAAATTGATTGAAAGGCCCTATTCAACGATGAAAAGAAGAGAGTAAAGGAATCAATGTTATGGTCATATCTACTCCAACAGATAAACGAAGTCACAAATGCCCCATTGCGCTAACAATTGCATGTGACATTAAATGGAGCACAAGGCAAACAATAGCAGATTTAGGATTATGGAGCAATATTCAATGATGAATGTGAGATGGGGAGTCGACGGGGGAAAAAAAAAAGAAACACCAGAATGAAACCCTAGCCAGTACGTACCCTGACACTCTAATAGGAAGGGGGCAAAAGAGTATAATTATCAAAATGATGTATCAATGGCAAATAAATTAAGAGGGGAGAGCAAAGCAAAGCAAATCAATTCAATTTCATGGAGATGGCTGGCTATATAGCTCTTCCTTTGGGAACAGAGAAAGAGAGGGTTATTAACAAGTTTATGAAGAAGACTTTTTATGGGCATATGGCGTTAAAACCTCACTTTTCCATCGTGATATATATTTCGTTGATTGAATCTATTCAAAGACTTTTTTTTCTTTTCTTGAAGTCTTGGTTTGGACCATCTATCTATGTTATTGCTTTCATTTCTTCAGTTTACAACTGGAGTTTTTTTCCCCCTCTTGTTGACGAAATGTTCATTGGTATAGCTACCTATGATCGATGATGATGGTGAGGAGGCATTCCCAGTTTTGTAATATATATGATTTTGTGTAAATGTAATATGAAAAGAGTAGTCAAGTGAAAATAAATGTCATATAAGTAGTCAACATGCATGCCCCGGATATTACAAGATAAGCGCAGATATAACTATACATGTAGATAATCTTATGGACTGTGAGGTCAGTTAGGTAACATACATAGCAAATTAGAAATAAAGAAAAAAAAACAAATTTTTTTTTTGTGTGTGGTGGAATTGTAATTGCTATTATTACAATTGATGTATTATACAAATGATTGGGTTCCGATACAAAATCTCTGCCTGTAAAATTCAGCAATACCATGTCGTATCATCGTATCATGACATGGTTATAACGATGATTTATGTCTCACTTGATAATTAGAACCGTAGTTTTAGGGGGAAAAAAAGAAAAGTTTGCTTTTGGAAGTAAAACTAATATTTACTCTTTTTTTTTTTTAATGCAACACTTGTGAATGATTTATGTCTTCATCTTCTTCAATTCACTACAGAAGTGTCAAACAAAATCTTAATTTAATGAATTAATCATGAAATATAGGGGGAAAGAACCCATTCCTTAACGATAATAACAACAACAAATTGTCAAACACAGAGTTTGTTTTGGTAAGAGGAATAAAATTTAGGATGAAGAAAATTGCACAGACACACAAATACATAGAAGAAAGAGAGCATTTAATTTATTGTGTAATCTATAAAAAGGCAGTAGTGGGTGCCATAGGTAGCACAAGCAACATCACTTCCCCACATATACACACCTCTCCCCCTTTTCCTCACAAACTCAAACCCTAACCAGCTACCTAACTTCTTCTTCTTCTTCTTCTTCTTCTTCTTCTTCTTGATCATCACCACCATGAACCTGGAGGAGAAAGTGACAATGGACCTGATCCCGCCTTCGGAGCAGCTCTGCTACGTCCGCTGCAACTTCTGCAACACTGTCCTAGCGGTACTATATGCAATATTTCCACCTAGCTAGTTAATTTATGATGCAAAATATGCTGTTGTTAATGAATGAATGGGAAATGAATGAACTAGGTTGGGATACCGTACAAGAGGCTGCTGGACACGGTGACGGTGAAGTGCGGTCACTGCAGCAACCTCTCCTTCCTCAGCACCCGCCCTCCCCTCCAGGGCCAGTGCCTCAACGACCACTCCCACTCCCACCTCCACCTCTCCCTCCAGGACAAGCCCGGAGCCGGATCAGCCTTCTGCACTGACTTCAACAAGAAGGGACCCTCCTCCTCCTCTTCCTCCTCCTCCGCTGAGCCGCTCTCTCCCAAGGCTCCCTTCGTTGTCAAACGTAAGCCTGCTTTCACTCTCCTGATTTTACATACTTTTGTTCGTTCAAGTTTAACCCTAATATATATATATATTCTTCTTTCACCATCGCAGCGCCGGAGAAGAAGCACCGCCTCCCCTCCGCTTACAATCGATTCATGAGGTGGCGAATACAAATATCTTCTTCTTTTTTTTTCGTAATAAAAAATTCCCATGGGATTATGCATATAATGATGGGAGAAGTGATGATGGTGCAGGGAGGAGATTCAGCGGATCAAGACTGCAAACCCAGAGATACCGCACCGGGAGGCCTTTAGTGCTGCTGCCAAAAACGTAAACATCCTTCTTTCACTCTATATTTTACATACTACAATAAAAAGTAAGTATGTTTTTTTTTTTTGTTGGTTTTCTAACTGTGGGATGGTGGTGTGTATTTTGCGAACAGTGGGCAAGGTACATTCCAACTTCAACGGCTGCTGCCGGCTCATCAGTCTCTGGGAGCACCACCACCACTGTAAGTAGAGTACATGTACATTATTATTATTATGTGACAATGCAAAAAAAATTCGAAAATGAAACATAATATATATATATATAGAGAGAGAGATTCTGATATGGTGGGAGCTGTTCAGGGCTTGCATTTTGCAGGCATGAGGTGAAGGGAGCGGGATCGATCGATCGATGAACTACTACTGTTGGAGGTTGTACCGAGAAAGTGATTAACTAGCCATGGTTAACCATGTGGTGGGAGTTATTGTCGTTTCATAATAGCTAGATGGCTTAATCCATTTCTGTGTGGAAGGAACAGCTATAGCCAAGCTCCTACTTCTGCTGAGGCATCGGAGATTAACAGTATCAATATGTATGTGCTGCTTTCTAGTTTTCGTTTTAGTTTCTTCGCTAGCTGCTTATTGATTAGATTAAGAACGTAATGTTTTTCTTTGTTGGGAACTCAATGAATGTTATCTTTTCCTGGAACTAGCTACTCATTATGTTGCTCCACATGCCATGTTCTTTTGCATATACATAATTGTTGTTAAAGGGTGTACTTTCTCAACATAAAGGGTAACAAGATGGATTCACCTTAAACCCTACCATTCAATATGATTGACTCAATTACCTCTGAACCAAGATTGAAGATCGAAGAGCATAATTCAGAATCAGTCCAAACAATGACGATCGATTATCAGTTCCATAAGAAATTCGACGCTAACGTGGCAACTTGAAGCTAACATGGCCCCCTATGTTTGAATAGAAGGAAATGCGCAACAATGGACTAAACGAAAGCACACATTAATAGAGAGAATGGAATTTCGACCTAAACGAGGTTAAACAGGAGAAGACAATTAATCTACGAGAGTAATCTGAGGCATTTTAGTATGCTATATAGTACCCATGCTTTAATATACTTAGAGCCATTAGATCTTGTTATAAAATATCAGCCATTGGATTGAAATTATTTAATTATTATTATTTTCACTTGTGGACTGGTAACCTGTTGCACCGGTTCATTACACAATCATTTTAAAAAAAATTGAAATCCAGGCGAACAGAAACCCTTCACTGCATAAAAAAAAAAGGCGATCGAGCTTCTCTTCCGCGGTGGAATTTCAGAGCTTCTCTTCCGAGGTGGAATTTCAGAGCGTCTCTTCCGCGGCGACGGCGAACCTGCATTTGAAATAGTGCGACGGCGACGGCGAACCTGCATCTAGGGCGACAGCGACGTTGTGAGAAGAAAGAAATTGGGGGAACCCTTTCGCGATTGTGAACTGTGCTCTTCCGCGGTGGGTCTCTTCGTCGATATTGAAGGGCTTGAGCATCGGCGACGGAAACGGTGAGATTGTGCGGTGGGTCTGATCGTTTTTCAACTTTCCTCTCCTGGGATTGTGTTTTGCGGTGGGTCTGATCGTTTTTCAACTTTCCTCTCCTGGGATTGTGTTTCGCGGTGGGTCTGTTCGTAGATAGTAAAGGGGGTGAGCAGTGGCGACGACAAAGAGGACTTGAATTCTGAAGGTGGCAGAGACTCTTTTACTGGAGGAAGACTCCGAAGGAATCAAAGACTCGAAAAGCCCAATCGACAACGACGAGTCAACTAGCGCCGGGTAGGAGAACTCCTGCAATAGCGAGAATTGGGTGATAAAGCATTCGATTTCCGATTTGAAACGACGACTCAGTCATTCATTCGATGTAAGTGGCTGAAATTCTTATCTCCCTTTGATAAACATTCAATTTCTAGCTTCTAGCTTCTAGAGCATTTGTTGGAGCAGCTTCGAGTACAATAATGGTGTCTTTGAATGTCTGACTTATTTCTCTGGAAATGTCAAGTTGTCTACTAAGGATCGGTTGCCAAATCATAGGATTGAAATTCCATGCTCGTTTTACCAAATTGAACTATGGAAGTAGAAGAGAGAATTTCTCAATTCTGTGTAACCATTTGGGATTGAAATTGAAGCTTCTCCACTGCTTTCTTCATGTGCATTCTCAATTGGATATGGTGATATAAGATGCAATATTCCTTTCCCTCTCTCGGTTTTATCAGTTGTGTGAAGTGGGAATTCTGATGTGCTCCATCTTTTCCAGTGTCTTCTTCTGTGATTTGGTTTGTCTATCTCTTTAGCTTTAACGTCTTGTGCAATGAGTATTGAAGCTCTCTCAAGTGTAGTTCTTGGTTGTGCTGTATTTTGTCACGGCCGAGTTTGATTGAGATGGGGGCATCTTTAGTCATTCCGTGATTGATGAAGCTTCAGAAAGTCTGCACTTTTTTGTGCAAATAGTTGTGGCCATCCACCATATAACTTCATTCCTCACACAGATCGTTGATGTGACCTAGGAGGTATTTGTGAATGGAGGATTCAGTGTCAACTAGGAAGCTGTCTTGGTTTATATAATCCCATAAACTGTGCTGGGGTTGTTCATTTCGTTGTTGCCTTTGCTTTCAAACTGAAGAGAATAACTGTGCTGGGGTTGTTCTGCTTGCTTCTTTAGTTCTTTGGTCTTGATTGGGTTTTATGGATGTAAGGAATGGGTTTTTGATTGGAGAGACTTGATTTGTGTTTTATGGAGGCAAATCGAATAGGAAAGTTCATACTCAGTTTGATTATTTTCAGTTTGTAGTGTCGTTACCGTTGCTTGTTGATTACATTTTGGACTGTTAATTGAAGGGTCTTGCTTGGCTGCATGAAAGGTGCAATTGAGTGTGTTAGTCAAGAACTATTTCATGAAATCAGGGTGACTTCAGTTTTAGCCAGTTTGGATGGAAATAGAGCGAGTGTTTATGGTGGTGTCATGGGTTATGGAAAGCTTAGTGGCTATGCTCGTGGTCATGTTATTTAGCTCTCAAAAGTTGTAAGTTGTGTGTGGTTTCTGGAAATATCACGGCTGTGAGAGAGACCGTGGATGTAATTCTGGAAATATCACGGCTATGAGATAGGCCGTGAGATAGACCGTGTATGTAAAAACACACTTCTCAGTTTCCCAGAGGTTTTCACGGGTTGCCTTCGACAGTGTCACGGCCGTGAGATGAGCCGTGTTTTTGGATATGGATGATGGGCATCTCACGGCCCCATTGTTAATTCTCACGGGCCCCTTTGTAAATTCTCACGGGCCCCTTTGTAAATTATCACGGGCCCCTTTGTAAATTCTCACGGGCCCCTTTGTAAATTCTCACGGCCCCTCAGTAAATTATCACGGGCCCCTTTGTAAATTCTCACGGCCCCTTTGTAAATTCTCACGGCCGTGAGAATAAGCCGTGTGATTGTCTGGAGATTGTCTGGAGATATGCAAACTTCTCTTTGCTTCTCACGGGTCATGTCACGGCCGTGAGATTTTGCATTTTGGGTGAAAATTAATGAAAGCTGGGTGTTTTCATGGTTAATTAGTGTACTCAGGTGTTGATGTAGGGGATTTTCAGTTCTTCTGGTAGTTAGAACTTGTATTTTGTTTGTACTCTTCGGCATGCTTATAATTCGTGTTTCAAGGCATGCTTATAATTTTTCTGTTGTTTTAATTTTGCAGTTTGCTAAAATTGTTCTATAATGAAGACGAAGAGGCATCAAATTTTCAGCACGCGATGTTCTCCTAGGAAAGTGTTCTCAGTAGTCTCAAATTTAGAGGCTTGTCAATCAGATGCCATTAGGAGATGTGGCTTTGGTCGTATTCTTGAAGTCAAAGCAAGAAAGCTACAACGTGAGTTGTTGGAGAAACTTGTGAAGAGCTTTAATCTGGAAGAAAGCACAATTAAGGCGTATGGGTTGGAAGTGCATATTTCGGCCAAAGATTTCGCGCGAATTATGGGTGTGCCTGAGGGAGGTACTGATATCATCTTGAATGGTGAAGAAGTGGAGGGAAGATCAGAGGAACTGGAACCATTTAGAGTGTTTTCGACACGTGATTGTGGCCGACAGGCGATTTCCACAAGCTTAATGCAGAAGGAGTTGTCGAAGATGAAAGATAGCGACGATCTATTTCTTCAAATGTTTATTTTGTACGTAATGGGGGTGCTATTAGTACCAACTAGAAGAGAGGACATTTCCTTGTCTTCGGTATACGCTGTCACCGATGTTGCAGACATTCCGAAGAAGAATTGGGCATCCTTTTGCTTCAATGAATTGGTCAAATGCATCTGCGACCATAATGCTTCTAAAAGAGAGTATATACCGGGTTGCTTGCTGTTTTTGGAGGTAAATAATTGTTAATCCCGACTTTCTACATATTTGTAATGATTAATCATCATGTTGATTATAGTATTTTTTTTTGTAGTTAATATTCTTGGAGCATGCAAATGGTATTTTCCAAACCGTTGATGGGAGTTTGGATTTGATGAGTTGGGGGAGCGGAGACGTGGAGTTATTGTTAACAAAAGTGGTAAGATTGATAGTATATTTGATTCTTTTGACAAGTTGGAGCATGCTAATGGTACATTTGGTTCCCTTTTTAATTAATTTATAGGTTTCCAGCAGTTCGGGGAAAAGATCAGCTGAGGATGCCGGTTTGAAATCACCTCCAAGGAAACGGGGAGAAGTAGATGGGAAACGGCACAAACCCGACGGGGATGAGCTACTTCTCTATGAGCGTATTGATGCTCGGTTTAGTACCATGGAGGGTAGAATTGACAACTTTGGTCAAGAATTTAGAGTGGCAATGGGTGATGCTGCTTCTAGAGATAATGAGCTAATGAGCCGGGTTGTGAAAATGGAGAACGAATTTCGGGCTTTTAGAGACGAAATCGGTACTGCAGTGAAGTCCCTTATAGAGGCAGTGAAAGCAACTGTAGGTGATCCGTTGTCAAGGGAGCAGCCTAGGGAACCCATTTCTCCTACAGCTGAGTTGAAAAAGAACGATCAGAAGGGTGAGGTTGAAAAACCTAGGGAACCCATTTCTCCTACCTTGGAATTTGTCAAGACTGCCAAAGTTGAGAATTCGGGAGAAGCTGAGGGGGAAATTGGAGATGAGAGATGTTCTGAATCTCCTTCTGTGAAAGTTGTGAAAAAGTCTCCTTGCAAGCAGCCTAAAGCGTCGCAAGTTGAGAAATTCATATTGTTGAGTGATGAAAGTGTTGCTGCTAATGATGGTTGTTCCAAGGCTGTGAAGGTATTTCACTTGATTAATTTTTCTAATTATTGGTTCTTATGGTGTGGTTACTAATGAACTGGTTTTGTTTTTTTATGTTTTTGAACAAGAAAGGGGCGAAAGGGAGGTGCACTACGTAGTGTGTCTAAATTGAAGCCTAGTTTGTATGTGCTCTCTCCATTCGAACGGGCAAATCCCAGAGCTAAGAAAGCACAACCTTTGTACCGTGCTCCTCCCTTTGTTGTTGAGACACCATTGTCTCTGGAGGCAGTAAAGATGCTTCAATTTGCTTTTAGTAGTGAGCTTCCCGAAAGGTACCTCCCGAAATCATTACAAGTAAAATTGGATCATATTTGTAGGATGTTTTTGGTATTTGCTTATTCTAATGTTGTGTTGTTTGAACTTGGTATTGTATAACAGTGACACATTGGTTAGTGTTGGTG